AAAAAAAAAAAAAAAAGCCAACAACCCCTCTCTTCCTCTCAAGACATAAAGGAAATATTATGGTAGTGGAGAGAGAGAGAGAGGTCTGGAAACTTCCTTTCTTCATCAGTTTACCATTAAGAAAACCACCATTAAAAGAATATAAAAATCTCTACCAAAACTTGCCAGGGTTATCATATTTTTCTCAAAATGCTGAAATGCCCAGTTAGGTAAATGTAATTGTTGATAATAGAAGGCAATATCTAGGTCTTGAAATAAACTTGTTTTATGGCTGTTCTAACCAGAACCAGTAACATCACAAGGTTTTCCATCCAGCTGTTCTGCAAATGTGGGAACAGCAGCTCTTAGCATAAAACCCTGTGATTCATTTATTTAAAGGCATGCAGTGAGGAATCAAAAGCAGAGGAGTGAAGAAAAGACGGGACAGTAAAACGGCCAGAGGACACTGAAAGCTCTGTAAAAAAATATGTTCTCACCTTGTCTCTACCATAGATACCTGAATCACTTAACCCAAACCCAAACTTAGCACACATTTTGGGTGCCCATGCTGCAGATGGGTCAGGATGCTGTCACAATTTACACAACACCCTGGAGTGTGTTTGGGAAACATTCAAAAAAATTAGGCCATAAACATCTCACGACTTGCCAAAACCTAGCAAGTGTCACCTATGGCTTGGCATCTCATGGAAACCATCGTTTTAGAAGCACTTTGTGAAGTTGTATTTCTATTTGCATTTTATATCTGGGTATGCTGGGCTCGCCAGTTCTCCCTGAGTGTGGCTGGAAGTGGATTCCCTTACAGAGGAGGGAGCTGGTGCTGTCATGAGAGATGAAGGATGTCCATTTGAATGTTTGCTCTGTGTCAGGAGGTGGACCACAGGCAGAAATTCGGCGCATGCAGAAATCTCCCCCTGCCCTTAGCAGTATGACTCTGGTCCTTTTCCCTGAGAGGAAAAGGACTGAAACGTTCAAGAGCTCTGTCATCTTTTAGTCACACCTCCCCTCACAGTGGGCAGCAAAGGAGATCGACCAGCAGACCCTTGTTGCAGAATTTGTGAGAGACAGAGGCCATGGTTTATGTTTGGAATGAGGTTTGAGCCACCCCTCAGACGAGGCCTGATGAGCTGCCTTGATGGGGCCTCGAAGCCTTTGATGCAGTGAGAATTCAGTTGTGGTGCAGACAGAAATTATATTAAGGTAACTACAAAGTAATGAGATATCCGAGCATGAATTAGAGAAGAACTGCAGTGTGAAAAGTTTGACCACCTTAAGGAAAAGGTAAACAATGTTAGCTTGCCAATCAGAGTGTCTTTGTTTTTGTAAACTATGTAGAAGCTGATATAAACTACCATCTTATCTCGAATAAAGGGAGAACGTTTGATTAACCACATTGGTTCAGATCTGTGTTTGTCCTGTCCATCTTCCCGTTTTCCTGAGGTTCCCTGGCTTTTGATCCTTCTTCTTCTTGGCAGAATCTGGTGGGACGTGGTGCACTGCCATGACTTCTGAAGGCTGGGAGCAGGCTTCTGAATTCCAGGAAGAGCTGGAGAAGTGTTGAGGCCACTGGGGGAAAAAGGTGATGCTGGGAAGATAATGGGGATAAAGTTATTGAATAGCTGCTGATTAATGGAGCGCATTGAATCCTGTGCATTGCATTAGGCAGGATCCTGGGGGGGAAAAAATGTCATCTGATTGTGTTTACTAAAGATTTCATCATAATGCAACATGTGTAAAAGAGCTGGAGGAAGTACAGGAGCTTTAAAACGGTATTTCTTAACTGTGAATACCCAATCATTGTGGTCTTAATGGTCTTTTTAAAACAGTGTATTTTTCTCTAGGCTTTGCAGGGATGCTAAATAGGCAGCTATTTGTAAATAGCTAGTTAAGAAGCATTTTTTTTTTTAGCCCTAAAAGGATTTTTTTTTTTTTTCTGAAGGTGGCTATTTCCCCTAAGATGTATTTCTCTCCAGAGAAGAACTGCTAGCTCAGGGCAGTAGTTCCTTTGATTTTACCACTCTTTAGTTATTCTCCTAAGGCCAGCATTGCAGACTGCTCGCATACTTGTTACTCCAAATGTTCTCTTCTCAAATGTGCTTTTGTACATCTCTCTGCATCTTAGTCAACCTTAACATTTTTTACACACTCATTAACAAGCTGATGGTAGAAAAGAAAAAGGCATGAAAAAACACAGTGCTTTAGGTTTACAAAAAAAAAAAAAAAAACAAAAAAAAAAAAAAAAAAAAAAAAAAAAAAAAAAAAACAAACAAAAAAAAAAAAACCAACAAAAAAGGTTCACTATGGGCTTTAGCCAGTGACATATCTTGTATTTTACATAAGTACAATCTTGATTGATTTTTTTGTGGACATATAAATTGAAAAACCTAAGTAAAAAGACATCTGACATATGTGGAATGCAATTTAATTGTTTTCTCAATGGTAACAATGCACAAAAATGCTAGAATTGTGCTAATCTGGAGCTCCTTAGAAAATGCCCATCAAATACAATAACAGAATAAACAGGAAGAATACATTTGGAAGGAGTTATTCATAAATAGAGTTTCCCAAACAGTATATAAAACATTTAGGCAAGATTAGGTCTGTAATAAACAACCCCTATGTCCTACTGTGTATTATGTTAATGGTCATATACTATTGTGCAAGCTAACATAAATCTATAAATATATACAAATTGGCTTTGCATCATACAATAATCAGATGGAATGACTTTGATGACTCATAAGTTGGCAGGTCTTACAAAGATAAATTTCCTTTATTTTTTGTACATAGTTAATAAAACTATATTCTTCATAGACATATATTTTATTTGAACCATAGGGACATTTTACATATATTAAAATATATTAGGATGACTAGCTTGCATTTGAAGCTCTTAACCTGAAGTGGAAAAAAGAAGAGAAATGCTTATTGAATATGTTTTTCACATAAATGCACAGGAAGTCAGCCACAATTTTTTGCTATCTCCATAAAAAACTTTCTTCCAAGTGCCATTACCACATTCTGAGCATCCAGCAAATACCAAAAGTAGCACTTGGGTCTAGTGTTCAGAGGAAGAGAATACTTACTAAAAATCTACTTAATTACACAGCCTGAAAATAATGAACCCCTTGAGCTGATCAAGTGTTAAAATACTTATTTAATGGAAGCATTGTTTTAAGTGTTAGCAATAAACCTGGAAGAAAAACTGTCCTCTTTATTTCAGTGTCTGAACTCTTACAAAAAGCTTTGCTTCTCTGTAAGTAAGTAACAAAAATAATTCTGTCACCTTGGGCTGATTCAATAATGTAGCCCAGTGATCTAGAAATGAAATGCCATATCCAACAGTTCATCCTGTCTCCTTAGTCTCTACAACGTGTCCAGGAGTTAACATGCTGTGCTTAAGATTTGCTCTGTCATCATGTAAATTCTACAAATCGTAGCAGTTCTCACCTCCCTTGCTTCTTAAATAAGTCCATGCTACCAAGTTCCGAATGATTCCTTCTCTCATAAGCTGTTGAGTGTGTTCTCAGGGAATTTAATTATCATACCAACGAAGAGGAAAAAGTGCACATTATTGGATTTTCCCCTGTGTATGCCACAAAAACATATGGGCAGCACCATCTGTGTACTTATGACTACAGATTTGAGTGTTTATTGGTTTTAATCTGGAGATCAGTGTCATTTGAACCCAGATCTGGCATCAGAGCTTGCATCCAAAATCCTGGCTTCAGCCCATGTGTACATTATGTTTACAGCTCTAGCTTGTCCTGCAACACTGAAGGCCAGGAATGTGTCTGTTCCCTTCTGCAGGAATGCATCTGTAGCAAATGGAGCTGTAAGGAAAAATAATTCAGTGATTCAAAGCTATCTACTTTGGAGATTTTGTGTCTATAGGAGAATCTTCAGCTAGCTCTTCCATTTTTCCCTCTGAAAAACAATGATAATAATATCTATCAGGACAACTGCCAGAATTAATTATGCAAATAGTAAAGAATTAAAGCTGTATTTAGCTTCTAGACAGAAGCAAAAGGTGTTCACTGTCGTTAAGACCTTGGTCTTCATTTCATGAAGCTACTCTAAGATTGTACATGGTTCCTCTATCACTATTGTTATTGAAACTACTGGAAGACAAACTTTCTCTTTTTAAGCACTAGAATAAGACAATTCCTGCTGTTTCTTTCAGGAGATGATGCATATGGGTGCTCCAGATTCTTTAACTTCAGGTGGTGCAGGGCTATCATTTGCCCATACAACAAGTGCATTAGTTCTGGGACTTGTGCATGTGCATGACTGTATTTTTCTTGTTGGCTGGAGTATTTGCCATTAACAGTATTTGTCTTCCCTAGGAATCTTGTGATTCAAACAGAAAAAAAAATTTCAGACACCATGATCAAGTTTTCCATAGTTATTAGCATTCTTTCCTTGTTCACGTGCATTTTGTACTCCTTTGTCATCCATTGCCCAGCTGTGATGCATTTTGACAAATTGTTTTCTTCTGGTTTTTATCTCAAATGTTGGAGGTAGTGATCTTGTGCAGAGCATTGGTGCTGGAAACTGCTGCAGAAAGGTGAATAGGAGTGTAAGAATATGAATACAATGGTTATTGAGTACAAGCCTTTTCCAGTCTCTCCTGAAATATTGAATTTCCGTAGTTGAGGGAATTCAACAATAGCTTGCTAGGAAGTTATACACTTCCCTTGTGATGGAATTATTGTATTTATTATTCCTTCAGAAAAGTAGACCGCCAGTCCTCTCTGCTGAAGAGAATTTACCTTTAATTTTGGGGCAACTATTTACTGCTGAGATGCAGCAAACCTTAGAGTATGGCTATTGAGTATGCTGAGGCTCTGAAATGTAGAGAATTAAAGAGTCTTGTTGGGTGATTGTTTTATTCTATTCACAAATTTGGACACAAATACTTATTTTTAATGTTTGTTTCAGTCTTGAAAGAAAACTTAGAAACTCTGTGACACAAGGGTGTTCTGGGGAGGGGATAATCTATAACCTCACAGGGAATTTTAGTGCTCACCTTCAATATTCGAGGCTAAGACTTGGGCAACTATATCTACTTGGTGGTTTTAAAACTGTATTCCGTAATTTTTGGGGGATTATGCAAAATGAGGACTGGAGAATGATTGTTTTTTAATTTGGCTTTATAAAAATAGAAAAACCACAACTGAAATCAGCCTGGTGTGGAGTGTATTGTTAGAGTTGCCGTTCTTTGACTAACACATAGAACTGAGGATCTCCTCAAGTCACTTTGTATTCTTTGGGACTCAGCAGAAAAGTAATGAAATCAGCTTCTCTGTCTTGGCTGAACTCCAGATCTCTTAATGACATATTACCTACTTAATTTCCAACGGCATCTTTGGTTATTAGGGAAGGTACAATTTTTCAGCACTTGCTACAAGCTGTAAAGTGGTAGGCATGTACTGCTAAACAATGACTGCAATTCAAGCCACAGCTGATTGCATTTCAGAGTTTATCAAAATACTCCTACTGATTTGCAGATCACTTAGTTTCCATTTAGTTTTGGGATCCTTTAGGATAAAAATGTGCTGCAGGTGGTCCTCATCCAATGACAAATTAAATGAAGAATGCAGATCCATTGCAAGTAAAAAAAGGTTTTAGGAATACTAAATGTGCTAGTATCTAAGAATATGTGCTGTTTCTTGCCAATGTGCAAGAAAATTCAGAAATCTTAAGATGCAATTATTTAAAGGATGTTTATAAAAAGGAATATTTACATGCAAGTGTAGAAAGCATTAGTGATAGTGAATGATTTTATCAGTTTGACAAGTAATAGTGTTGTCTAAGCATCTTTATACATATTAAGTGATATGTTTTAATGAGGAAACAGGAATAGAAAGTTCTATGAATGCCAAAATCATGTCACTGCTAGAACATAAACTTTTTCATTTTCTAAATCTTCTTGATTTATGGTACTAGTCCAACAAGTAACACATAAATTGAGCAACTTTAATGTAAGTGTTGGTGAATGCACTTAAATATTTAACTAATTTAAAGCCTAGTTGTTCATATTTAAGGGTTGCTTTGAGTGGCTTTTGCATTTCATTTCCTAGACTTTAAAAAATAACTGCTGAGGTGATGTAAAGTAGGTGAATTTATATTGTAGGCTAGGGCATAAGTTGTCTCCATAATGTGTATGGTAGTTTTGGCCAAATTTTTTTTGGCTTCAAGGGGTTACATCACCTATGTTATGTCCAAATCCCTGCTCTGTGCCATAGGAACATGCCAGCTATCCCATAAAGCTTTATAGTCTGTTACAGAGTAAATTTTTAGGAGGTCTCCTCCAGACTCCTTTTTACCTAGCTCTGGAACTGGTCTGGCACCAAGCTTGCCCAGCTTTAAAAACATGCTGAGCATGTCCCTCTTAACCCATCATTAACTGAAGCATCCTGAGCTGGATGGAAAGATCAGTGTCAACTGACTCATAAATTCAAGGAAAATGAAACATTGAGCACAAAGTATTGCTGCATAACTGCATTAAGTCCTGAAACCACTCCAGTAGGGTAAGTTAAATTCTGTCCTTAAAGAGGTAAAATTCCACTCTGAAAATAGCTAAACATATTTGTATATGTAAGATATTGCAATTTGGACAGGAAATTGGATAGATCTTTAGTCTAGGACTTATAAAATGTTTCATGTTTTTAGCTGCTTCTGAAGCCTGCGAGCATGAAATGTCTCATGCACTCTGCAAGCTGGAATGTTTCAAGAAATTACAGCCATCATCAATAAAATTACCAAGATAAATTTTGCCTGTGCTTCCACTGTTAATTGGCTGCCTTTTTAGTTCCTTGTCTTTTCCTCTAACCACACAAATACAGTCTTTTCATTCTTTGACTTTCTAGTCCTCCTCCTCACTCAGTACCCTGCTCTATCTCCCTTAAAAACTCATGAGCCACACTTCAGCCAGTCCAGTCACTTCATAGAGGTTTTTTCTGACCCTAGTGAGATTCTCATGCTCATGGAGCCCTTTCACACTGTCCAGAACGAGTTTTCTCTGAGTAATGTTTTATAGTGGAAATTAGAGAGCAGAGGGATTTGACACACTTTGACACTAATAACTAAATTATTGGAAACAAATAAATTCCAACCTCCAAAACAAGCACTTGCAGACTTACTCTCTTTTTTTTGAATGAGATAAAAAGAAAGATTTCAGTATATTTGTGGTATGCAAGGGACATTTATTCACGTAGCTGATTTTGGCTGTCTTACAAAAATATCCTGTCCTGTATCCAAAAATCCTATAGTAAAAGAACTTTGAGGTTGCAAAGTCAAATATATTGAAATTAGGAAGTGCCAGAATTAGGTTTGCTTCTGTGACCTTAATTTACCACCTTTGCCTGCTTGTTATAATAAAATGTACAGTTATGTAATTATAGATTGTGGTATTTTTTTCCCCTAAGACCTCAGCATTTTTCAATGAATGTTTTATTTAATATTGCCTTCACATCTCCACCTCCTTGATCCTTGTATTGAATTGAAAATTATTAATTTGTTGAGGAACTTGTTCTGCAAGCATTCATGAATTTAGCTCCTAGCTGAGGCCAGCTGCTATTAATATCTGTTTTTATAGGCCCAAGAAGGCAAAACCAAGCATCTGCTAAGTTTGGGCTGCCAACTGAAGGCAAGAATCTTCAGGTTACTTAGCACACAGGATGCTTCTTACATTCAAACCCTTTTTCAAAGGTTTCAATTACAGAATTGATATAAAAGCACTCCCAGGTACTTCAAATAACCATGACTGCTTACTAGAGAGTAGCCTGTGACAAATTCATTTTCACCAGAAGTGTTGGAGGGTTTACTGGATTGTTTAAGTAGCCTATCCACTAAATAATCCCTTTTTAAAAAGCATCTTCCTGCAACCTTGACTTCAGACCTTCTAAAGCAGTTGGCAAGTATCCAGGGCTTGCACAAGCAGCAGTCTCTTGATGCATAATCCTTGTTCATTCTCAGATGGTCATCATGTTTACTGAATGAGGTGAGGAGATCCAATTTAGCAAAATCTTAACATTCTGTTATCCTAAAACCTTTCAGGGGAAGGGAAAGAGAGCTACAGTTCAACATACATAAAACCTTCTGAAAAAATAGAGCTTACCTGTATTAAGGAACTTCTGCAGATTTGAAATAGAAATTTTCAGAGATTTGGCTTTTTCTTCCCTTGCTGCAGAGATGACAAGGAAGACAACTAACAAATGTAGACATAAAATCCACAGGTCTTAAGCCATTGTCCTAAACCCTGGAGATAGTAACTTGTCTTAAAAGAAAAGGAGAATCAGCTTGGATAAAAGAAAAATAATGAGTCTTTTGGTTGTGGGAAAATGGCACACTATTTTTCTCTCTAAATGTAAGTTTAAAGTTCAGCTTCAATATTTAAAACATGAAGTTATAACCAACTGCAACAAAGGCTTGTGCTAGAAAAGTGTCAAATATCATTAATAAGGTTACTAGCTCCATACAGAGCATTGTGCTGTTCCTTTTAAACACGTTACAAAAATGCTGAAATGTCACTTTGTGCTTTCATAGCATATGTAGCTGGGCACACCATGTAGAATAATGATACTTGTTTCTGCAAGACAGCATGTAGCTTTGTAAAGTTTTGAAGGGGATCTCAAATAATGATTTTCTTCCTGCTGAGATGTTAGTTTTCCTTTTGAAGTTGGGTATCACTATTACTAAATAAAAGGCTGAAGTACCAACCTTTTGCTACGTAAGATGTTTTTGACCACATCTTAAAAGACTTATCATTAATTTATGTGGAATAGCATGCTAAGACTATTACCTTGTGCTAATTTTCTTGGTTCTTTTACTTACAGAGAAGAGGGAATTTAGTGGCTTCCAAGCAAGTGCTGCTGCTCCCAGAGAGATTTGAGACTGCCTTGAAGGGGTTCACATACAGTTCAGCTCTATCAGTTAATACTTGGAATAATGAGTTCAACAAAATGGAGCTCTCAAGTAGAGGTGGTAAAAAGTCAGAGGATGACTGAGTTTTATGTATGCAATTGCATATGCTCAGAGTGGTAATGTTGCTTACAACTTCTGGTGCTTTGGAGATTGACAAATGGTAGTGAGATCCTGGGCATTGGCCTTTTTGATCAGGTATCACTGAGGTAAAATTCAGTATATCAAATGTGGAAATCTTGAATCGCTAATACAAATGCTTACTTCTTTATTGAAAGATATATTTCAGTTCCACTTAGTGAACTTTTGCCAATATATTACAGAATGCATGTTTTAGCTGAAGCAGGAAATTGTGCTAAACAGCTACTGAGTGAGATTGGTGATTGATGAGACATCTGGGGTGGGGAGTGCAAGAAAGAGGTGCTAAATAATTTTATGACAAAGTAAAATTTTCTCATTCTGCACAGTCTATTCATGATCCTCAATACCTACTGAACATTTGAGATATTGAGGTTTTTTTAAAGCCATGAAGTGTTTTCTCCTTCATAGCATTACCTAGGCATGACAGTGCCTAAAATGAGAAGGAACAAAGCAAAGTGGGATATGATGTTAAAATATGATGTTAAATCCAATGGAGTTGTAGACAACATCACAACAGAGAAACAGGTTGGAGCCTCCTTCCAGAATTACAGGTCTGTGAGCTGATGCTGTGAATGGAGTTCTTGGGTCTGATGCCTTGTTTGTTGGGCATCTGATGTTCTCTGTAGACTCTGTAGCTATGTAATAGCACAAGCCATGCAATACAACAAAATCTCTTTAAAAGAAGGGTTAAAAAACCAGACAGACTCCTGCAGAATTACTTGGCTGGCAGAGGTAAAAAGCTCACACCACCTTCTCAAATGCTTGTTAATTTTTTTGTTAAAAATAAAGAATGAATACACATCAAGCCAGATATGATTATTTCCTCTCCTTTAACCTATATTAATTCATATCCAAAACTGCTAATCTATGTTAGGGATGCTTGGAAAAACAGTTTCCACTTTACAGTAAAAAGATACAGCTAAGGTACAGGAATATAGTTTACAAAATCAGCCCCACATTTGAGATCCATAGTTTCTGCAAGGAGGGATGGAGGTAGGAAGTTTTACTTTAATTTTGTATTTTTTCAGAGTTGCAAGAAGCAATTTTCTGTCAGACTGAATGAGCCACCCTTAATTTTAAGATGATTTGGAGTCCAAAGGGAAGTCTGGCTTTTTTCACATTCTGAGTCACAGTCTCTGAAAATTATGGTTTGCTAAAGAAATGCTGACAGGTCCTTACCTTATCTAGTATTTGAAATATTTATGGAAATGGTTTAGCTTTTATATCTATGCCTATTTCAATCTCTACAGCAACAAGGAAAAGTTTTGCTGCAATCTTAAAAATCAACTGGTTGAAATATTTTAGAAATGATTTGCAAAATGTGAAAAGTCTTGTTTTGGATTCCAATATGTGAAGACGTTTGCCTAATACAAAGATATTTCCATTTTTACTTGAGTCATAGATTTTTCTGATGTTATAGCACTACTCAATTACAAAAATTCAAGCAAAACCTTTTATGTCCAAGATTTAGGCCTAGTTGAGTTTTCATGACAGATCTTCAAAGACATTGCAAATTAAAAGTTTAGAGATAGACATATAAAATCTCTATTACTAACAGCTTATGGAAAATGCTAATGAATGAAATATTCTGGGAATCAAAATATAGTTTCACTATAGATGAACAAAAACTAATTTCATTAATTGAAGGATAATTTTTTTTCTATAACCGGAAACCTACCTGATGGACAATTATATTTATCAGCCAGAAAAGATTTTAAAATTCTCTTCAACTTTTATGATATTAAGATTTAGCACATTTAAGTAACAAAAGAAGAAAAAAGGAAGTGCAAATCTATATCACAGGTCTAGTGGAGGCCATAAGTATGGCTAGCTTTATGATAATTTAAATATTGACCTGACTTCCCTGAGGTCCACGTGATACCTTATCATGTGTGACAGTGTGTGCATAGATCACAATATGATCACACTTTAAACTAGCCAGTCACTAAGAAGGGTCTTTTAATTTTTTTAGGGACAATCAATTCACAGCTTAAATGTGTGCATCATTGCTCTGCTGTGGGGAAAGTTTGAAAGAGTTGGGGTTGTTTGGCCTGGAAAAGAGAATGAGAGGTGACCTCATAGCAGTAGAGAGGTGACCTTCCAGGACTTTGAGGGTCCTACAAGAGAGTTGGAGAGGGTCTTTTCACAAGGAAAGAACAACAGGAATGGTTTTAAACTGGAAGAGTAGGCTTACATTAGATATGAGGAAGAAATTCTTTACTCAGAGGGCGATGAGGGGCTGGACGGTCTTTGAAAAATGTGGTCTAATGGAGATTGCCCAGAGAATTTTTGGAGCCTCCATTCCTGGAGACACTCCAACTGGACACAATCCTGAGCAGCTGGCCATAGGTCACCTGGCTTAGCAGGGGGTTGGACTAGATGAACTCCAGAGATCCCTTCCAACCTCACCTAATCAGTGATTCTGCCAATCATCTCTGGTAGCACAGAAATTTTTGGGTCTGTTTAGCCCTTAGTGTCCAGTATGAGCTTCTGAGGGAACTGCAGGCACACTGGTCAGCCACGTGTATGTAACACAAATCACTCCCTCCTTTACGAGTGGCATCTCCATGAAACATCAATGTCTCAAGTGAATTTTCCCCCTTTATGTCCTTTGGATGTATAAGTTTGACTTCAAGACTTGTTTGGTTTCAGAATAACTTTCCCCCTTTTGTTTCAACTATCCCTGGCCAGAGCTGATACTTCCTCAACATCTTATTGGAAAGGTTTTTTTCCCAAGTCTTTTATTCAATAACTACAGAAATGTATTGTCATATTGCCCTTTTATTTATTATTCCTAGACTTATATAAGCTACTGCTCATTATCATTTTTATTGAAAAATGCCTTAGTTTTTGCCTATCACTTTACTCAGATTCACCTCTATTTATTTGTCCAATTTCCTGACATCTGACCTTCTGACCTCTTAGAAAAATGCATTTATATTTTAATCTAGTTTTGTCCACTGATTTAGGATTTATAGCCTAAACTTAATTCACCCTAGTAGCGTGCTGGGATTTTGCTTGCCTCTTTGACCATGGCCTCTGGGCTTAGAAAGTGTGCAAGCTCTCAACATTAAACAAACTTTAAAAAATGGAAAATGGCTACCTTTTTTTTCTCCTGAAAGGTGAGTTGGGTTGCTGTTCTAGCCCCTATTTCAATGCTCCAGCCAAATAGCTGAGAAAAGAGAGGATTTGGAAGTTCTTTGGCTTACTGCCTAACTCTCTTATCTGTTGCAATCTGTAAGATAAATCGGAATCTCTAGAAGGTGGATGTAGGAAAGATTTCATCACTGTCTGTATTTTATGTATTGCTAGCTCTATGATTAAATAACTCACAGATAGACTAATGACAGCACATTTTTTATATCTAAAATTAAACTTTGAGTTGAGAAAAGTGAGATAACCCTTTCAACACAGGCATTGTGAACAAATAATTAAAAACTTTTTCTAATAACATACTACTGGCAAATTGATCTTGCCATTAGTAAAGTATCAGCAAAACAAGCCCTTGGTGTTATTCTGGTTTATTTTTTTCTGATGATTAATGTGGTTTTTTGTTGTTTATTTTCCTGTTTGGTTCAGGTGTGAACATACACTGGGATGATTAATTAGATGTCAATGCAACTATACTATTTACTTATTCTAGGGTAAAATTTTGTGGCTGAAACTCAGCAAGGCTTTTGAATAGATACCTAAACTTCCAACTTATGAACAGCTGTTCCATCAAAGGCAATAAAAGTATCTGTGGGCTAAAAGGTTAGGTGTGCACTAAACTGAGTGGTGAATTGAGTCTTTTGCAGCTACCTGAAATTATGAGAACTATGAGGAAAATACTGAGGACAGGCTGTATTGCATTGTATGGGAAGTAATATCCATAACACCTCCCAACAGCAACAGCATTTCTGTGTGTCACTTGCTGTGCACTTGAATTGGTGCTCAGTTGACAATCCATGTGTTCTCTGGGCTGTTTGTCCTCTGACTGTAACTCCATGCAGGTCCAGATGGAAGGAGAAAGCAGATTTCACATGTTTACCTGGATAAAAAACTCCTATTGGTTTGGGTTTGCACCTGAAACTTGGTAAAATGGTAAACAAAGCTTCCTGCTTAACTGATGAAGAGGCTCCTTCTTTCCAGTTCTAACT